CATTTCCTGCTCATGTCAAACTGTTCGCGTGCAGACTCAAGAAGCGGCGACGTTTAGACTCTTCGAGTACCAGACGCTTGTTTATGACATTTATATCCAAAGTATAAATCGTTTATTCGTGTAATATATAACGTTACTTCTCCCGATTCGTCGCAGGTCCCGTGAACGCGGATATGAAATTCAAAGTCTTCAGGATATGTTGCGTGATACATTTCGCATTACGTTCTTATAATTGTCGGAATTCTTTACGTCGCAACTCGTTGGACACCGTTAATTAAGTTTATTAAATAAACAAGCAAATTTAATCACCTTTCTCAACATGGAAGATTCATTCATACAGATCGATCGAGATTCGAGACACGCACACTTCTTTCGCGACACCCTGTATGTATAGGTGGCTGTACGCTGTACTTCGGTTAGACTCGGAAACATTCGGACGCTCGACAGCACAAGCACACGGACGTGGTTGTCGCTTTGATGTGTGTGATGTGTGTTGCTAGCATGTGGATGTGTTACCAGCGCATTAAGAGCATGGCGCATCGATAAGCAGCCGTAGGCCGTATAGGTTGAGTGTATTACTGCGTGCGATCCTTGCTCTAGGGCGGAGTGGCGGAGAGCAGTTGATAAGCCAAACACGGCAGTTGACGAGGCCAGCCAGCGTGTACTGTGAAACTCTTTTTCCAGAAGGCTTTATTGAAACCATTGAAACCAACGGTACTCATTCAAGATGAAGAAGAAGGTAAACATTTTCTCTTTATATTACTAAAACGCATGGAATTGCATTCTTTCTTCTCGCATAAGTTTTATTTCGTATGGAAAACACTTCTTTGTCCTGCGAGGCAATTTTATGAATAACGTGCTCCAATTTAGGTGCTGTTAATGGGCAAGAGTGGGTCCGGGAAGACAAGTATGCGAAGCATTATCTTCGCCAACTACATCGCTCGCGATACCCATCGTCTAGGAGCGACAAGTAAGCTACGTATATTACGGTAAATAGTCGCCGAAAGAGGGACTAATGCAACGCAATTTATTACAGTTGACGTAGAACACTCCCACGTTCGTTTTCTCGGCAATCTGGTCCTGAACTTGTGGGATTGCGGAGGGCAAGAGGCATTCATGGAGAATTATTTCGCGTCGCAACGCGACAACATATTCAGAAATGTGGAGGTGTTAATATATGTCTTTGACGTTGAGTCGAGGGAATTGGACAAAGATATGCATTATTACCAGAGCTGCTTAGAGGCGATACTGCAGAATAGTCCGGAGGCGAAGATATTTTGCCTGGTTCACAAAATGGATCTCGTGCAGGAGGACCAGCGCGACTACATTTTCCGGGAAAGAGAGGAAGATCTGAAAAGACTGAGCTTGCCTTTAGAGTGCACCTGCTTCAGAACGAGCATATGGGACGAAACGTTATACAGGTATGTATCGAATAAAAGTGCAATTAAAGCGGACAAGTGCTATTAAACCCTCATTAAATTGTTATTGCAGGGCATGGTCGTCCATTGTATATATGCTGATCCCCAATGTGAAGGAACTTGAACAAAGCTTGAATCAGTTTGCTAATATTATCGACGCGGACGAAGTTCTTCTGTTTGAAAGAGCGACCTTCCTAGTAATAAGTCATTGCCAGCGACAGTTTCACAGAGACGTTCATCGCTTCGAGAAGGTTTCCAACATAATAAAGCAATTCAAACTGAGTTGTAGGTAAGTACGAGTCACGCGGAAAAGTAACAGGTCTAAGGTCTGTATTAGACTATGGATTGAAATTTGACCAGTTAGAGCAAAGTTCACTAAACTTGAGGTTAGTTTTCTTTATTCCGATTGATTAAATTTTAATCCAATCTCTCAATCCCAATCTATAGTCTGATACAGGCTTAACAACCCAGGTAGCAATTAATGTCTAAAAGACATCATAAAGACATCTTTAAAATTTCTGGCATCTTAAAGACATCTTTATGATGTCTTTTAGACATTAATGCTACCTGGGAAGAACGAGATGAGACATTTTGTGTTGACTTTGCAGCAAGTTGGCGGCGCAGTTTCAAAGTATGGAAGTTAGAAACACCAATTTCGCGGCCTTCATCGATATATTTACCTCAAATACATACGTGATGGTCATCATGTCCGATCCAACTATACGTGAGTATCTGAATTTTTCCACGTTGCATGAAACCTGGCGTTGAAAATGCCAATGAAAACGTTGAAACGTGGCGGTCTTCTTTCAGCATCCGCGGCGACATTAATCAATATACGCAACGCGCGGAAGCACTTCGAAAAGTTGGAGCGTGCCAGCCAGAGCTCGGCGTTGAGCAGATAGAAGTCGGCGCGACCCAGGCGCATCGTCACCCGGGTCCATTCTGTTAACAATTGCTGAATTTTCTGGAATCGTATCGTTAATAAAGCGCAATCGCGGGAAAAGATACGATTGTCGACGAGATCGGGAGTCACAAAGTATATACAATCCGTGGCTTTCAACGTGAGCGTTTTTATGACAAAACAACTATATAATCGACGTGTCCGAAAGAGGCTGACGGTTATCGCTGTATTTCAGGCCGTATATTAGGACTGTATCAATATAAATTCATTCCACATGTTACTTGCGGATGTAATATGGTCATAATGCATCTGCGATTTATCGACGTAGAACAGTTCCCGTTTATGCGCGATATTCTCGCTTCATTTGGAATCGGGTTTTTTTTTTTACATTTTCGATTAAAGGATCATTCGCGATTCGAATCATGTTGCAATAATATCCAACGAATGTTAGATAAGTTATCGTAAACATATGTCTTTCTTCTGTATCTGCATGCGTCACGATGGATGACTGAACGTCCACTTGAGAGCTTCTGTTCTCGAAAATGATTCACGACGGTAGAGAAGCTTATCCGATGAAGATAACAGATACGTATAACCGCTCTTAATTATGTGTTCACTTGTTAGCTTTTACTACTGAGGATTGTTCTCAAATATAAAAGGAGCTGTCGAGTGGATGTGCAGCCTATGTTGCATCGTGCTATGGTTGTAAAGTCGATAAATGGTTAACGTCAATTTCGTAGAGAAGGATTGTACGGTGTATTTGTATGTTTACATCCTTAAACGCAAGGTTTACATACGAGATGTAACGAAACTATGATGTATTTTTTAAATGTGCAAATAAATTATAACCACGAATAGGCTTGTTTGTAGACTTGTATTTCTTCTACGTCGAATAATATAGTTATTTAAAATTATTAGAATCGATAGAAATAGTCTCGATGAAATAGATTCTAAAAGTAAAATGGATTTACATTGGAAACCACCTGGTTTTCAATTTTTTTTAAATATAGGTTATACATACTCATTCAAACTTTTTTTTTTTAGTTTTTAGTGTATTTTATGAAGTCGAAGAAGTTTGAATTAAAGAAAAAAAGATTCGGCGTTTGTTCCTATCATAGATCAGAGGGAAATTAAATTTCCCGCCGTCAGTTACCAAATGGCGGAATAGTGTGCTGTCCTCACGTTCGGAAAACGAGTTTCTTGCGATTTATTCCACAGTTATCGCTCGATTGTCGCGATGGACAGAATACTCAAGGGGATCATGAAGTACAGGAAGTGCCATCGGGAAGGAATGGTGAAGCAATTTCAACAAGTCAAAGACCATCCCGAGGTACGTTCCATACTACGTTAAAAGAAAAAAATCTCGCGTGATGATTCTTTCGATATATAGGTACAGACAGGTATCTCTCGCGCTGCCACGCCGAGTCCACGTGCGTTTTGTTGATACCACCCCTATACATCAGGTGACAGTGTGGGCTGTCAAAAACAAACTTGCAACTCCGTTTATTTAATACAATTAATACGACTTGGTTAATAATAATAATAATATATCATTCGTTTTAAATGCAGTGGCCCGTGTTATGACCTCGAACCATCGATTGACCAATAGTTGATTAAAGTACGCGTATCTAATGATGGCATGGCACTTGCCGCACTTGCTTTATTGACGGTGTTTCGCCAGGGAAAAATTCATGTTCTGCTTTTACTGGTAGAGTACCTTACGTAGATTAGATATCGACAGACAGGGTATTTACCTTATGCTGTTATGTCAGGGAAATATTGGTAGCTTTATTGATAATACTGTAATTTAGATATCAGGCAGAACATCTATCTTACTGACTATGGAATATATTTTGAATATTAATTATAGTAGGTTTTGTTTTTATCAATAGAGTATGCTCGTTTGATTAGGATGTCAAAGAATATTTGCCGATATTACTAAAAGTGCACTAAAACTGCGACTGTGAAATATAGTTAAGAGAGGCTATAATTTAAGTCAGTTAAAGAAAAAAATCGGATAAAGAATTTTCAAGACAAAAAGCCAGAAAGCCCCCTGACTAAAAAAGCTACTTCCTATACCCTGGAAATTGACAAGCTGTTTCTTGTCTTGAAAATTTTTTATCCAAATTTTTAATTTTATTTTTCTGGTGCATGATTAAAAGTATATTAGTAACATCACATAAATGATTGAAGGAATAATTAGGTACTTATCTAGACCTAATGTTACTACAATATAATATGTTACTACAATATAATTTTGCAATGATTTCGTAATTCATTATAAATATTTATAATTTGTTTCTTTAATTTTATAGTATCTTTATATTTAATTTATGTATAATTCTTTAATTGACTCAAATAGCCTTTCCTTCCCCCATATATGTATGTATAACATTCAATTTATATTATATACACCTCCCCAAACAGCACGCATGTCTAAAAAAGACGTCTTAGATATTTTTTAAACGTCTTCTAGATTCCCTACTGTTTTAGATTCCCTCCTCTTGACAATATAAAGAAAAAATTTTAAAAAATTTCAGAAGAGATGTCTTTGTATTTCATATACTTTGAACATCTTAATAAATCTAATATTTTCATCTAATAGATTAAATCTTATAAATTCTTTAAATATCTTTATAAATAAATTCATAAATTATCTAAAATTTAAGTGGCCACTTAAAATGGGACTAGTCGGATATATACATATAGTATTATACATAAAAAAAAATGTATCTAAAGACTTTCGCCCTATGCCGTATATTATATAGTATTGTTAGCACAGCTTGTAATTTGATGTCTGTTACTCCTATCACAGCCAAAGGCAGTGTTCTTTACCTGCATGGACTCCCGGATGATCCCAACTAGATTTACGGAAACGAACGTTGGAGACATGTTTGTCGGTACGATCTATTATAGTTGCATTATCGCGTAACCCCTTGTTGCTTCTTTAATTTTTCTGATCTCATCGCAGTGCATTTTTTCCCTTTTTCTAATAAGTACGCTCCTTACAACATCAGATCCTCTAACGAGAGAACGAGTACAACATTCATTCGATGTAATAATCTCGATTGTGTACATATGATTATTCTTATTTATCAAAATTTTATTTCAATCAGGAGAACCACGAGAACCAATTTATTCAAATTAGTATCTTCTTTTTTAAATTTAATTTTTCGTTTGTTATATGTATATATTTTTAAACATATTATATTTTGTATCTCCTTTATACATATATATTTGTAATAAAATGATTCTAAAGATACTGTTCTTAGCATAACGATTTTTGCACGGATTTTTGTGCTTTTCGGGATATTTTTTTTACTGGATGTGGGGTTTCCGAATTTCTCAATTCATCCATCACTCATGGAAGGAACGAAAGAGCCGAAGAAGGAGCAACGTGTATCGGACGGCCTAACAGAGTTTACCTTTTCAGTCCGAAACCCCGGTAATGTCGTGCCGCACTCACAGCACTTCGTGGACGAATTTACCATGTGCGAATCGGCGGCGTTGGAGCTGGGATGCGTGGTGAACGACATAAGGCACGTTATAGTTTGCGGCCACAGCGATTGCAAGGCGATGAATCTGCTCTACGCTTTACGGGACGAGGAGTTCGCGTCGCAAGTGCGTTTCCCGATTCGTCCGCGATAAACTCTCTTTCTTTTTCTTTTCTCGCGTGTTTCGCCTTCGCGAGCGATAACGCCGTCCGAATTTCAGACGAACAGGAGAATGTCGCCGCTGAGAGCGTGGCTGTGCGCGCACGCCAGCAGCAGCCTGGCGAAGTTTCAGCATCTCGAGGTAGCCGGTTTCCGCGAGCCGATCCTCTTCCAGGCCGAGACGCCGCTGCGAAAATTCGTCGCTTACATCGATCCGGAGGACAAGTTTGCCATCGAGGACAAACTGTCGCAAGTCAGTACACGGTCGAGCGAGACGCCACGCCGCCGCGCCGGTCGTCTGTCTCGTTGACACTCGAGGAAACTTGTCTTGTTGCAGATCAACACGTTGCAGCAGCTCCAGAACATCGCGTCGTACGGGTTCCTGAAGAAACGCCTGGAGAGGCACGATCTGCACATCCACGCGTTGTGGTTCGACATTTACACCGGCGACATTTATTACTTTAGCCGAGCCAACAAGAGATTCGTGGAGATAAATGAAACGACGGAGCCGCTCTTGCTTAAGGAAATTAAGAAATACTACTCGTAAAAATCTGTTTTTTCCAGATAATTTGGACATTATTTATAATCCAACGCTAAAATTATGTTGCCAGAGCTATGCGAGTTAAACCGCGTAAAGAGTAATCGTATATTTTTATATATTAAACTTTCAGGGGCTTAATATACTCTTTATATACTCTTGAGAAGACTCGATAATGATAATAATCTGAATCTTTATCGCTTATTATTATTTCAAAGTGCACAATACGTTGCGCTTTGTTGGGATCATCGAACTTCAGATGCAGTTCGAGTTTAGCACAAAATACATTCTTCACCAAACTCATTGTATAATTATATGTCTATTTTTTATATATATAATACATATAATATATATCTATTTATAATATAAAATATATTGAATTATGATATATACTGATTGATATTTGCTGTGTGGCGAAATATAAAGATATTCGTGTAACGGAGTAAAGTGAACTTTGCTACGTGTCCCTTCGCTTGTCCCTTCCTCCCGATTTTATGGTATACGCTCGCCAGTTCGGCTCGATTGGATCGAGAAAAGAATCAAAGTCTCAAGCCGACAAAAGATAGTCCACCGATAGATGGACGGACCGCTCCGGACGAACTAGAGCATGCCAGTTCTGAAAGAGAAAGCAAAACAACGAAAGAAGTCGCAGAAATCAGAGTTGCGGAGCGTCGTATCGGCGTCAGGATCCTCCTCTAGACGATTTTTAGGAAATCTCTAAAATTCTAAATAAATGTGATATAAAGTTCTAATGTGCTCTTTTTATATTTGCGAGATTAAATTTGAACTTATATATCGGATTTTTTCCTATCAATCTGTGTGAACGTCTATAAAGCTTTAGGTTTTATCAAAAGTCTACATTTCTAACAACACCGAGAGATGCGACACCATTGGCGCCGTTAGCTATAAAATTTTTGGGGGGTACTTTGGAAACTAAATAAAACATAAATAAATAAATAAATACATAAAAAATAAAAAAAGTACAGTTTAAAATTTAACTTGTTTTAGAGATTTATACAAAAAATTAGATTTTTTAAATGTACAAATGTAGAAAGGAATTGAAAAGGAGACACTGTCGCGTTACGAATTATATGTCAAATACTCTCTTTCCCTCCTCTCTTTTGTTTTAAGATTTACGGAATTATTAGAAAATTAGTAGTCTAAGTTTGACGTAAACGCTTGAAGAACCAAAATTGCTTTTGCATTTATTTTCCCTGTTTGCCGTAAGACAGGTATACTGGTGAAATAATCCAAGTGCCGTAAAACGCGTGCGTGGATGCGAGATCGCGAGTCCCGAGTTTTTGCGGCTCCCGGCTACGTAAGCACGCGTGAAAAACGGGTGTGTGTGCGCGCGCGCGCGCGTAGTTCGCACTTTTCCGTCCGTCACGCGGTAAAAGTGAAGAGAAGTTCCCCCCAGTTTCCAACGGAATCGTCCAGTTAGGCCGGTTAGGACGTGGCGACTGAAGAAAGAGATTCCGGAAGAACCGGAACTCGTGTATACGCGGTCTCTTTGTTGGCACGTTTCGGGCCCGGAACGTTATTTTGAGATTCCACTTATCGACGAACGAAAGATCGCCGCGGGTTATCGTTGTTAATATACTGCGACAAGTGCCCTGGCAAGTGCCGCTTAGGTCAGTGCATCAAAATAGACCCGCCACGGTCGC